CCACCCCGGGGCGGGCAGCGCCGCAGGAATGTGCCCGGCGCCCAGCGAGGAATGCAACACTTGTGAGCTGCTATTTCGGCAGCCGTGGCCCTGGCCCCCTCCGCCGCTCCCCCTTCACCCCCAGGAGCCCATATAAGCCCAAGCTATTGTGTGGCCTCAGAGATTTGCTATTTTAAACCCTCCGGAGCGAGATACGTGAGTGCCCGAGGGGCTGACACAAGCCAGCCCAGCTGTCACCACAGCCGGGACGCTGATAAGGCAGCGCTGTCACCAGCACAGGAGCAGCCCCTGCCCGCACTCCGGCCCGGCTCCCGCAGCCCTGCTCCCACCGCGGGATGCTGCAATCACAAGGGAAGAGTCTGCTTTTAACCCCCCAGGACACATTGGATTCGGGGTTTTCCTTATTTTCCCTTTGTCGGGAGAAGGGAACAGTTCCCAGTCCCAGACCAGCAGTAGGTGACCAGGAGTGTTTTAGAAAGAGCAACTTTTATTAGAAAACAAAAAAAGCAGAGTCCTTTCCCAAGCCTAACAAGCAGGATCAGCTCCAGGGGCAGCAGTAGATTCCCACGCTGAATTTGTCACCACAGTGGTTGTTCAAGGCACAACCCAAACCCAAAGAATGGCCCCAATAAGAGAATTTGAGTCCTTTGCCCATGGCACCCTAAAGGCCTCGAGAGAGCATCCCCCATCCCTGCTGGGTGGGCTCAGCAGCCACGGGAATGCAGGATCAGGGGCTGCACAGCGAAGGGCTCAGGAGGAAAGGCAAGAGGGAAATGGGGCCCAGCCCGGGGCACTCAGCTCCATGAAATCCCCCAGACAGGTCTGTGGCCATGGCCAGGGCCAGCTCAGCTCCCCTGGGTAGTGGAAGGTCAGTGCCTGCAGGGGCAGGGGGTGGCAGGGACAAGGACAAGTCTCTGGTTCAGCTGTGTGTGGAGGGAAACACCAGGGCCAAGTCCCCCCTCATTCCATGGGACATCTCCGAGCACTCGTGTGGCTTCATGAGCCTCTGGTTGTGCCCCTGTGGCAGGGACAGCCTGGCAGGGTGACAGTGCCTGCCCCAGGCAGCAGGGACAGACGTGGTGCATGGATGTGCAGCTGGAGCTCCCTCAGCCAGGCAGGTTCTGACATCCTCCAGCTGCCAGGGAGCCCTGTGGGGATCCCCTTGGCCAGGGCAGCTCTGGGGCACAGGCAGAGATCAGGAACAGAACAGCAAAATGTGCTGGGCAAACAAGGCAGGAGTTTGCCTTCAGCATCTGTGGGGAGCCTGCAGGCCTGGACAGACCCACAGACAGGCAGTGATGGGGACTGGGGGCACAGGGAGACTCTTCCAGGCTTCCTCCTTCCCATCCCACAAGGACCCCATGCCCTGGGCTGCACCCACACATGGCACAGGGGACTCGTGGCAGTGGCTGCTGGACGGTTGGGTAGGGCTGGGCTTTGATCTTTGGAGCAAACCAGTTTTTCCCAGATGGTCTGATAGCACAGCTGGTGTTACTGCAACTGCAAAACAAAGTGGGAACCACTGAGGCTGTGCCTGAGGCTGCAACCCCCCCAGAGCAGCTGCTTTAACCAGGACAGTGGGTGAGACCAGCAGGGGATGGGGCAGGCAACAATCCCCTAAACCCCATGACAGCCACTTTCCTTCTCCCCCCAGACCAGAGTCCTCCTCTCCCTCACAGATGCCTCCAGTTGTCCCCTCCTGCTGACTTCCTAAAGTCACAGGGTCCTGATTCCCCCACATCACCTCTCCCTGTATATCCTGGCTCTGCCTCAGATGATGCACCAGGTTCCAGAGCAGCTCCACAATTACCTTGGTGTCTCCAGAGGTGTCCCCCGGCTGCTTTATCCAGACATCTCGCTTTGCCAGGCTGTTGATTCTCCGGAGTTCCTGCAAACAGGAGAGTCAGAAGTGACAGGAGATGTTTTCCCCAAGCATCGTGTGCAGCATTGCCTTGGTGTGACTGTACCTAGACCATGAAGCACACACTGTCCAGGTAAAACCAGCCAGCTTTGGGATCCTTCCTGCACCTGGGAGACCCTCAGAGCCAAGTGCAGCTCCAGCCACAGAAGTGGAGCAGGTGCTACTGAAGGAGAACTGACCAAGGAGCTGCAGGCGTTCCCCAGGAGTCACCCCAGGAGAAACCCTTTGCTGGCACAGACACG